GAAAGAAAATAATGAAAAGAAATGTAAATAAATAAATGAATAAATAAATGAATATATGAATGCATACATAAATAAGAAATATAATAAAATAAATTTATTAAAGTAATTATTCATTTAAAAGAAAAATAATTTTATATATAATATTTAAAAATTGTTAGAATAAATATGCAATATATATATATATGTATTTATATGCTTATATAAAAAAAAAAAAAAAAAAATAGGTAATACAAATGTTTATATATATCCATTAAATATTTATTTCTTCTCACAAAATAATATATTACTTTTTTTTTAGTTTTACAAAAATGTATATAACTAGAACAAAATAATAAAACATAAACTAAAATGAATTTTAAATTTTAGTCATTTATATGTTGTTATTATAATTGTTTTATTATTCAAAATGATTTTATAAAACATTATTTTAAGAAAATAAAAATTTTAGAAATAATTTATTAGTCAGGAATAGTATTATAAAAATTAAAACGAAATAAAATTAATAAAAATATACATGAACATATAAAGGTGCTTCAATATATTTTATTAATAAATCATTATATATATATATATATAAATATATATATATATAAATATTAAAAAAAAAAAAAAAAAAGTAAGTTGTCCACAAAAAATTTTTATTCTGTTTAGTGCATATTCAAAATCGTTTAATAAATAATTTAGGTATATTAAAAAAAAAAAAAAATAATAATAAAATTAAATGTTAAAATTACACATATAAAAAAATGTAATAGAAAACTAAAGAAATTTAAACTTAACAAAAAAAGAAAGAAAAAAAAAAAAAAATTATTATTATTATAATTATTACAAAAATAAAATATATTTTTTACTATTTTTTTTTTTATCTTAAATTGATTATTTTATCATGTAATATGTTTCTTTCATATATATAAAGAATACATTTAATATTTTTCTTAGAAACATATATTCATATAACAAATCAAAAGAATCTGTTTTAGAATTATAAAACAAAATCACCAAAAGAATAGATAAAGAAAAAATAAAACTATTATAAACAACATAAATTTTATATTTATGTTTATATGTTAAATCAAAAATAAAATAAGTTAATATATACATATATACTTATATAATTTATATGAAAAATAATTAGCATGTAATTTTTTTTTTTTTTTTTTTTTCACTATACATTGGATAACAGAATTTTTTCTAATTTAAAAAATATATAAATAAAAATATTGTTTCACTTTTAATCTAAATCACAAATATTATATAAAAACAAGTATTATTAAAAAAAATATAACATACTAAATTTTAAAAATCTCTATATCATCAATTGTATATATATAAATATAATATTTATATATATATAGAATCAAACACAATTATACAAAGAGATAAAATTAATAAATAAATATATATTTATACAAACATTTGCTAAAATAAATGTAAATATGTATATATATATATATATTTATATATATACATATTTATATATATAAAATGTAGATAAGAATAAATTAATATTTAAATAAATAGAATACTAAGCAAAATAGACGAATATTAATGAACAAATGTAACATATATATAAGAACGAAATAAAAAAAAAAAAAAAAAAAAGACAAAAACATTGCATTTCAACAAAAAAATATTACGATTTACTTAAATATATACATATAAGAAGATTTTTATATTTTTTATTAAACTCAAAATATAATATCTACATAATTAAGATTTTATATTCATTCTTCTATTTGATAAATATATGATATACAAACAAATATAGTGTTTAATAAAAAAAAAAAAAAAAAGTTAATAAAAAACAAAGCAAAAAATAGGAATATTATTTTAAAATATTAAACTAAAAAAATTTCACTTTTTTTATTTTCATTTATTAATATTTATAAAATACAATCTTTTAATATGTTTTTTTCTTGAAATATTATTTTCTTCACTTATAGTAAACTTCATGTATTTTTATGAATTTTACGTATAATTTCATTCTTTTGTGATTTCCGCTTTTTTTTTAATATAGAAATAATGCCATTATAAATAAAAACAAAATAGATGTATTTCCTTTAAATTACTATTAAAAAAAATGAATAATATAGTTGTATAAATATAAACTTAATATGAATTATTAATTATATTTAATTTCCTTTTAATCATGCATACAAAAAATTACACATTTATAAAAATAATTGTTAAAATAAAATTCCAAACTTATATAATAATGTTTTAAAGTTTTATAAAATATTCTTGTAAATATTTATATATATAAAAGTTCATTTTTTTTAATGTTTCTTTATTTAATTTTTTAAATTTTTATTTAAATTCTATTTGATTTAATACAACTACTTTTATAAAAAAAAAAAGTAAAAACTTTATTCTTAGGTTTTATAACAACCTGAAGATAAATTTTTTCATGCCTTTCAATATACACACGAAAATGAAAAGAATAAATAGTTAATAAAAAAAAAAAAAAAAGAAAAATTATTCAATTAATAGTTTCAACTAAAAATAAAAAAAAAAAAAAATTAACAAAACGAATGGTTTTCATGTATCAGATCAAAATTATTACAACAATAGAAAAAAATTTTTTTTTTTTTTTTTGTTAGTACAGATAAAAGTTTATTTATGGTAATAATATGAAAAAGAAATAAAAAATATATTTACATTTAATATATCATAGGTTCTCTGTTATTAGAAAAAAAAAAAAATAATAATTAGAAAATTTATATATGCTTATTTTAATTTTTAATTTTTATAAAAATAATATATTTTCTTTATAAGTGAATGATCAGAACAAATATTTGTTTGCACATTTTATATCTTGCATTATTAAATTAATTTTTATCTCCATACAAATAAAAAAAAGGTTTTTTTTTCAAGTTTATTCTTTTTCCTATTCATTCATAAAATATATATATATATATATTTTTCTTTTTTTTTAATAATTGAATTATATATAATTATTTTTTCCTTTTTCTTCTACGTGTTCAGATTATTTGTTATACATCAGCGTGTGCTAATTTATTTCTGTTTATTTATGTAAAAAAAAAAAATATATATATATATATATTTCCTCTATTTTATATAGAAAATTTTTTTTTATTATTTTTGTTGTTTTGTGAATTTTTTTTATGTTTTTCTCAAAGTTTTATCGAAATATTTTTTATAATAAGAAATAAGTTTTGCATATATTGGTTTTGATCATTTGTAATTAAAAAAAAATAAATACTTTTTTTTTTTTTTTTTTTTTAATTAATTCATCTTTTATAATAATAAAAAGTTTATTGGTATGAATATGTATTTATTTTTATAATCGTGTATATTTATTTACTGAATAAATTAAAAATTTTATAATTTTTTTTGATGTTTTATAAGTATTACTTATAAAGAAATATTTTACGAAATAGTAAATATCATTGCTTATCGGAAGAATAAAAAAAAAAAAATATAATAATATATTAAAGGAAAAAAAAAAAAAGAATAATAAAATATAATAAAAAAATACTAATTTTTTCTTTTTTTTTTATCCAAAGAATTCTTAAGTTGCTAATAATATGATAATTATAATAATTTTTTCGTAGTGAAGACGAAATCATTAAAGCCACAAGAAATTTAAATAAAATGTGTTATTTAAACATTTTAGTTTTTTGGATTTTTTTTTTTTTATAATAAAAGATTAAAATTTATAGTATTTTTTAAATAACACTATTTTTTGATCTGTTTAATAAAAATATATATGTTTTAAATATTTTCTAAATGTATGAAAAATATACTTTGATAAGTGAAATATATATGATAAATCTTTTTCTCATGTATATATATGTTTTTTCCTTTTTCGCAATTCTACATTTTTATATAACAATAAAATTTAACTAAAGAAATTGTAAAGTTCTGCATGCTATCATCATTTTATTTAGCATAATAATTCAACTAAAATATCATTAAAAACAAATGTAAAATATGGTGTAATTTAATTTTCTCCTGAAACTATAAAAAAAGATATAAATGATGAAAAAAATAACACACAAGAAGAGATAAATAATGAATTTTTTTTTATATAAATTTTAAATTTTCTCTAAAAAAAAAAAATACAGTATATACAGTACAATGTTTTTATAGATAAAACTACATACTATTTTTAAAGGAAATTTTATTTATATAAATTAAGAGACATAAAATATCATTTCAAAAAAAAAAAAATTTCGAATTATACTGTAATACTAATTATTAAAAAAAAAAATATACATATATATTTATATTCTTTAAATAAAATAAAATTAGTGCATACATGAACATTCAGAAAAAATTTACTCTTAAATATTCACACAAAAAAAAAAAAAAAAAAAAACATTAATAATAAAAATAAATGAGTTAAAATGTATGAAAAAATGTATATAAATCATAAGAAAATTCCTTTTTAAAAAAAATCTACAGTTATGTATAAAGTTATTTATTTTGGATTTATTAAGATGTTTTGTTTTTACAACTATTTGTATGTTATTATTAAAGCATTATATTTTTGCATAATTTTTCCCCTTATTTTTATGTATGAAAAAAATTTTATATAAAAATTACATTAAAAGTTTAAATCATATAATAGTGTGAAATTCAAAGAATCAATTTGAAAAAAGCACACATGCACTAGAAAATTTGTTTTAACCCAGATATTAAAAAATGTTCTTAGTATTAAAAGAAAATAATAGAAGTAAATAGTAAATTTGTAAATTAAAACTAATTTAATTTTAGTTGTAATTTAAAAATACATCATATTTTTGATGAATAAGATTTTATGCCAAATGAAAAATAAATATTAACATATTTTAGTTATAATTCCCAACATATTTTGAAGCTAAATTTTCAATAAATTAATAGAAATCTTACAAATTTGCTTTTGATAAAATATAAAAAAAAAATTATATTAATAGATAAAAAAAAAAAAAAAAAAAAAAAAGAATCTTTCACTTTTTTTTTTTTTTTTTTTTTACCTTAAATTTAATAATAATTTATTTGTTTCGTTTGTTTGTTTCCCTTTATTGTTTTATATTTTTAGTCTTTTTTATGTTAATTACATTTATCAGTTATTTTTAAATTTTAATAGAGAATAAAATTTTATTATTATCTTTTTATTTTTTAATATAGGAAAATATAAATAAACCGAATTTATTTTTACTATATTTAAAAAATATATATTAATACATCACACTTGAATACATTCATAATTTATTAAATAAAATACATATATTTATATGTTATTAGGAAGAAAAATAATTAGTATTATATTGTAGTGGTGTATTTCACCTAATATATTGTTAGAAAAAAAAATAATAATGATTACAAAGGAGATTCCTTGTAAAGATTTATTTTATTTATATATTTTATGTATTTCTTATTTGTTACATATTAATTGTCATTCTTTTATTTTTATGTTTGTTTTTTATAATATATATAGATTTTTGTTGGTTTTTATTTTAATATATCTTTTTTTTTTTTTTTTTCTTTTACAAAAAATAATTTATAATATGATATAAATGGAAGAAATAAGTTCTGTTAGGAAGTTAATGAAAAAAAATGTTAGAAGAAACTATAGCATACATCCACAAAATATTATTTTTTATGATTATTTTAATAATTTAAAAAGAAAAGCATTAGCTCAGGGTCATAATAATTTAGTTATTTCTTTTAAAAAAATTCTTAGTTCAATTTTAAAGTATCCATTACCTATTAAAAATTGTTTGGATGCATATAAATTAAAAGGTGTTGGAAAACGTTTTTCTTACTTTTTTGAAAAGGCATTAAAACAAACACAAAATGAAAATAATTATAATTACAATGATGATAATTATGTATCCAATGTACGTAACTTTAATATAAATAATCATATAAGTAAAGTTATTAAATGTTCTAACGATTTTTTAAGAGAATTTGATGAATTAAATATGATAAAAAAAATTGATGATATAACAGAAGATGATAATATTTTAAGAAATCTAAAAGAAATAGAAAATGATCATATAAATAAAGAGAAGAAAAATTCTAAATACAAAATAAAGAATGACGGAATACATAATAGCCCTCTTCATTTTAATGGAAATAATGATTCTTTATGTTTAACCATACAAGATGATAAACATGGTTTCAGTGATTCTTTAAATAAAACTATTATTTCAGATAATAGAAATGATAAAAATAAAATGTCCATTGAATATAAAGAAGAATCACTTAGGAAATCATTCTCTCCAAATAAACTTGAAAAAACTATTTCTAATTATGAAAATTCGTCTATGAAAAAAAATAAAAAAATAGAATTAACTGACTTAGAAAAAAACATTCTAAATGTTATCGGTAAATACAATCATTTATATAATGAAAATGCAATGAGCAAAGAAGAAATAAATATTCTATTTTTAAAAAACTATAAAAAATTAGTAAATATAAATTTTAGATCTTTAAATAAATTAATAAAATCAGGTTTATTAGAAAAAATAAAGTGTATTGAAAATAAGTATCTTAATAATGATGTGTCTAAAAATAAAATGAAATTAAAAACTATTAATAAAATTAAATTAACAGAAAGAGGAAAAAAGTTTTTTGATGAAGAAAAAGAAAAATTATTAAAAGAAGCATCAATTACAAAATGTGAAGATAATGAATTTTTTATAAAATTAAATAATGTGGAGGAAAAGTTTTTACATACAAATATAACAGAATTAAAAGAGAATGTTAAGGATAGAAAAAATGAAACAAAAATAATAAATCATTCAGAAGAAATTTTAAAAGAAAAAATAATACAATGTGATACCAAATATAATTATGATCATGAAAATAACAAACAAGTAAAAGAAAATAATACGAATTATATTTCATTAGTAGATTATGGCAATGATAAACATAAAATAAATTCTTTAGAAGAAAAAGAAAGTTCATCTAACTCAAATTCAAATACAGAGAAAAAATTAAATAACGATGTAAAAGAAAATTTAGAAAATAATGATATTTTTAGTAAAGAGGATAGAAATAATTATTTTGTATACAATTATTCTAATTTATTTTTAGATGTAAATGATAAGATTGAGGAAAATTGTCAATATTTTAAAAATGAAAAGTTTACAGATAATAATAATGTTCTTATGATGCTAGATACAAAAGAGAACTATACAAATGATATGAACAAGTTGTGTATTAAAAAGAAAGAAGAAAAGACACAAATAACGAAAAGTAAAAACAATGTTCAAAATAAAGAAAATATAGATGTCATTGAAAAAAGTGATAGTATCAGAGAGGATAACTTATTTGAGCCAATAAAGGAATTTAATTTAATAGGAGAAAAAAAAGAAAGTAGTTATTTCGAAATTAAAATGGAAAATAAGAAAAGGGAAATAAAAAAAAAATTAAAATTAAGTTTAAAAGAAAAATTGGAACAAAAAAAATCAATTGAAAGCATGTCAAATAATAATTCTAGTTTATTAACATGCAACCTATCAAAAAATAATTATTCTGTAAATTGTTCTAAAGTTGATGTTAATAACAACGAAAAGAACACGAAGCCATGTGATTTAATATGGGATAAGGATAGTATTATAAACAGAAATAGTGAAATAAAAGAATACAAAGAGGATAGTTCTAAAATAATTAGTAGTGATATTAACAATAAAACAAATAATTTAATTCTTGATAATAATTATATAAATTTTATAAATGGAAATGAGGAAAAAATATCAAAAAATAAAATAAGAGATCTAAAGGAAATTAATATTGAAGTAAATATACCATCTGATGACAATCAAGAGAAATTAAGTTATAAAAATATAAATGAAGAAAATTATAATAGTAGTGAAAGTATTTATTGTGACATGTATAAAAAAGAATGTGGTTTAAATACTGATTCATATAAGTGCTTAAAAAAAAAAGAAATAAATAATTTAGAAAATAATTATGAAAAAGTGGAATTAATATCAACAATAAATAAAGAAAATATTGATAATCAAGATAAATGCATTATAGAAAATATACAAGAATTTGAAAGAAAGAATAACAATTATGATATAATTAATATATCTGAATTGTCTTCTGATAAGCAGAGTCATTCTTCATATATGAATAATTATATGAGAAATAGTAAAACAGAAAACAAGAGAAATAATAATATTTTAAATAAGAAAAGCGAAATGGAGAATAAAAATGACGTTAATAAAAAGAAAGTAGAAAATAAAAGAATAAAAAAAAAAAGGAAAAGAGATGAAAACCAAATAAGAATAGATATTGAAAATGAGAATAATGAAATTACATATGGGCCATATGAAATAATTATGGTAATTGATAATAGAGATATATCAGGTGCAAATTGTGAGTATAATGAAAAAATGAAAAAAATATTCAAGGATAACAATATAAATTTTATAACAAGAAATCTTCCTTTAGGTGATACTATCTGGTTATGTAGAAGAGCAATTTATAGTAGTAATATGAATTCATCAAAAAATAATAAAACAGGAAAAAAGAGAAAAAAAAAAGAAAAAGAGAGAAACGAAGAAAATTACGTGAATATTTTAAATGAAAATAATAATCTAGAAAATAACAATGAAGAAAAAAACATAAAATATGAAGAGTATGTTTTAAAATGGATAATAGAAAGAAAAACATTAAATGACTTAAGTGCTAGTATCATAGATGGCAGATATGAAGAGCAAAAATATCGATTAATGAGGTCAAAAGAAATGTATCATATAATATATTTAATAGAAAATTGTAATAATTCTTACAAAAATTATATGAACTCTTCAAAAATTTCATATGAAACATTAACTAATGCACAATATAGTACTCAATTAGTAAGTGGTTTTTCTATATTAAATAGTCAAAGTATGAATCACACTTTGTTTTTGTTAAGTGAAATTCATTTTCAAATTGTAAAAAATATAAAAAGATTTTGTGAAATTAAAGAAAATGAGGAAATGTTCATTAATGATAAATTATTAATGTATTTAAAAAATAACTCATGTTCATGGGAAAAATGGAATAATGAATCTAAAAAATCCAAAAATAATATTGTTAAAGAGGTATTTGGAAAACAATTAAGATTAATTAACATGTGTGGTCCAGATGCAACTGAACTTATTTTGTCATTATGGTCAACTCCTTTCAAATTAAATCAAGCACTACATAAATATACTCATGATGGAATACTAGCTGAAAAACTTAAAAGAATTTATATAAAAAATTATGAAATTAAAGGAAAAAAAAAAATTAAATCACCAATAGATACACAAGTAATAAGTTATATATTAATATCAACATAAAAAATATTCACTTAAATATTTATCTCATTTCTAAATTATTTATTCAAGTCTTCATATACATATATATTTAAAAAATTTTGAAATACATTTATATGAAATATATATATTTTTTTTTTTTTTTTCAGTTGATAGCACAGCTAAGGCAATTATATGCCCCCGATTCCATTTAATGCTTTTAATATATTTTAAATTTTATTCAAAAGATTTATAAATATAATTATAAATATTATTCTAATTAAGTTATATTAATTCATTTTTTAAATATTTTCTCATACATTATTGTTTTATTATGATAGATATATCAATTTTTTATAGTTATCTATCAGTTCATTAAGAAATTTTTGAAAATATTTCCACCATTTTATAAATATTTTTTTTTTATCATAGTTGTTCCTATTTTATTTGAATATTATACATTTTTTTTTTTTAAATATTTTATTTTTATTATATATCCTTTTTCATTTCAATTATTATTGTAAACAACTTAAGACATAATTCCTAACTAAAATATACTGTATATAAAAAATTATTTTTAATTAGAATTTTAAAAGAAAGTATATTGTATAAGAAAAAAAGAGAAAAAAAAAAAAAAAAAACAAATATTTATAATTAAGGTCGTTAAAAAAATAGATCTATTAAACAACATAGAAGTAAAAAATAATAAATGTTTAATAAAAATAAAAAATATTTTCTATTTTGTTTAAATATCTCTATGATGTAATTTATATTAAAAAATCAATATATATAACTGTATGAAAAACTTTAAAAAAAAAAAATATAAATAATTATAAATTAATATTAAAAAAATCAAATACATAATTCTTTATAAAAGCATATAATAAACTATATATAACTATACACCACAAAACGGGAGAAACAAAACAAAAAAAAAAAAAAAAAAAATAAATAAATAAATAAATATATATATTTTTATGTACATATATTTCCTATATATGATGTCAATTAAAAATAAATTTTAAACAAAAGTATTTAAAAAAAGAATAGGTTTTAATAGAGTGTATATATTAGATAATGAAATGAATAGGAAATTTGTAAAATATATTTTTAATAAATTGGAACAAAATTTATTTGTATTATGATGAAAAAAGAGATTTTAATACATCATAATTTATTTTATTAGGCAAATTTTTATCAGATTTTTCAAGAGCTTTTAAAACGGAATCCCCTGTTGACTGAGTTTCTGAATAATCTTCCACTTTTTTCTTTTTATTTCTAATTTTTTTTTTTTCATTATTATTTTCCTCATTACTTCTTTTTTTCTGTCTTTTTAATTGTTTACATATATGAGGTAAATAATTTTTCATCATATCATCCCATATCAACATTTTTACTTCCTTTTCTTTCTCAGTTAAAATCATACTTTCTATTTCGCTATCATAAATATCACTTAAAGTTTCATCATTTTGGTCAATTGAAGTATCTGAATTTCCGCAAAATGAAGTATTTTGATCATTAACTGAATTTGAGTTATTTTCGAAAAAATAATTAAAATCTGTTAAAATATTAACATTATTCATATTTTTTTTATTATTCCTATCTTTATTTTGAATGTTACATTCTAAAAAATTATAATCTTCAACTTCATTTAAAATGCTATTTAATTCACAACTTACAGTTTCTTTTAAAGTAGTGCAATAGCTACTATCTATTTTTTGTTTTTCTTTATCTAAATTATTTTGTTCTAAAATATTTGAACTGACAGTATTATTGTTACTTTCAATAATATTATTAGTTTCTAAATATGTAGTTTCATTATAATAGTTTCTTGATAAAGATAAATTGCTACTATTAGAACTATTAGGCATAGTTTTAATCATATTACTATTACTATCATCATCATTACTACCATAACTAATGTTATCATTAATATTTGTATCATTATTAATGAATGTGTTAATTTTTTCACCATTTTTCATTTCATCATTAATTAGAGAATTCTTTTCGTCACTTATTTTAGCTTTATTTAATTCATTAATGTTATCTGAAAAGTTAGATGCAGAAACATATGATTCCATATCTGATAATTTATTTATACTACACATAGATGTGGTAGATTTCATAGAAAAATTATCCATAAAAAGCTCTTTTTTCTTTTTAAATTCACATTTTTCTAAATTTGATGTATAGTCTATTTTTTCATCACAATTTATTGAGAAGTTATTATTTACATTTTTTAGTATATTTGGATTATTTTCTATATTAATAGTATTAATTATTTTTAAAGCTAAATTATCTATATCATTTCCTTCAGGATTTTCATTGCATATCTCCTCTAAATTTATTCCATTATTACTATGGTTAATATTTTTTTCTTTCTCACTTTCTGTAGAACTTTTTTCCTTATTATCATATGTAATACTGTTAGTTGAATGTTCGTTATTATTATTATTATTAAATGACGGACCATCAATATGAGACAAGTTGTTATCATTAGAAGTGTTATCATCATTTATATTACTAATCATATTCAAATTATTTTCATCATTGCTTTTTTGAGAGAAAATATCATCACTAAATGTTTCACCATAGGATATTGACTTTCTGCTTCTATTATCCTGCTCTTCACTATCACATAGTGATAATGTTTTATTTTTTTCAATAAAATTATGCTTCAATTTCTTTTTATTGTCATAAATAACACATGGAGGTATACTATTTGATGGAATATCAGTTATGGAAATTTTATCAAATTCAGATGCTTTAATTTTAGCAGTATTTGTGTTTTTAAATTCTGATAATCTTTTAATAATAGTTGGATTAGAAATCCTTACAATGTCAGCAATTGTATTAGAATTAATAGAAATTCCATGTATTCTAGTAGATATTAAAAGAGCTGCTCCACATAATCCTGTAGGTCTTCTTCCTGTACTAATCCAATCCCTTGTCATGGCTTGAATAAGTTTTATCCCTGTATATGTAACTTTATAAATATCATTTTTTAAATTAAGTTTATGAGCAAATCTTTCTAAAAATAAGGAAGGATCAATATTTGGAACATTAATATGTAATAATCTTAATAATTTTAAGAATGTTTTTCCTAAAGGTTTTACGGGTGTTTGTAAAATATCACTAAAATCAATTAACATTATTGGAGACTTTTCTCTTCTACAAATAGTATATAAGCAAGATGCAGCAACATAAGAATTATTTCTTCCCATAGTGAAATTTCTCTGTAATGCCATTAAATAAATTCTTTGTGCTGCTTCTATATGTTGACTTGATAAATGCAAATGATCAGCAATTTTTTGAATGTTTATATACCCTTTTTGTAAAGATATTTCTCTACTTTCTCTTATGCCCCAAGATAATATAAACGATTTATTTCCACTTGATGGAATAAATTGACCAACCTATTTAAAATAATAACAATAACAAAAGATAAAAATAATAATAAAAATAATAATAAAAATAATAATAAAAATATATTTTATTTTTTTTTTTTTAAAACTTCTTCTTTTCTATTTGTTGTTATTACCATTGAAATTCCCCCATTATTATTTTCAACAAATTCTAGAGACTCTACAATTTTATTTTCTTCTAAAACAGTTCCACATCTCAAACAAATAACTTCTCCTCTCCCTTCATTAATTTCTATGTCAGAACTTAAGCAACTTTTACATAATTGTTGATTCACTATAATTTTTATGTATAGTAATAAAATAAAAATATAATTAATATATAAAACATTAAATAATAAAAGAAATTTAAAAATTTTTTTTTTTTTTTCTTTCTTTTTCATGTATTAATATCATTACTTTCATTGACAGATTCACATTCAGTTTATTTCTGAAAATACAAAAAAAAAAAAATTATTTTATCCTAAGCTAATAATTTAAATATATTTTAAGTTCCATTTAAATTATGTTTAACTTTCCACAAAAAAATAAAAACTAAGAAAAACTACAATAATAAAAAGCTAAAATTTTATATGTTTAAATAAATAAATATATTTTTAAAATATATTATTATTTTATATATTGAATTATAGAGGTTTAAAGAATTAATTACAATAAAAATTTTATATTTGTATATATAAATCTTTTTGAATTTCAATTGTAAAAAAAAAAAAAATAAAATAAAATAAATAAAAATAATAAAATATAATAAATAATACTAAATATAATAGTTATTTTAATTTTGTATTGATAAAATTCAAAATTTTAAAATCAAAAGTAAATGCTCAATAATCATTTTTTTTTTTTTTTTTTTTTTTTTTTTTTTTTTATTGTATGAAAAATCTATATTCACGTTAATTATTAAATATATATATTTTATATGAAATTCAAAGTACAAACTTATATTTTATATAGTTTTTTAACTTTTATTATCCATATATTTATTTTTCTTTTTTTTTTAGTTGAAAAGTAACTAAATGAAAGAAAATGTAATTTGTAACATAAATAAAAAAATTAATAGCTTCATATATTGCATAAAAAATGAAAATAAGGTTTATTAATCAATATTATTTTTAAATTTAAAAAAAAAAAAAAAAGTATTTCTCATTTTTAAATCATAATAAATTTTACTAATGCAATAGATTTTTAATATGCTTTTTAAAATAGAATAAAATATTTTTTTGTTTTAAGTATCCTTATTCTCTTTTCATATAAATATTTTAACTATAAATAAGCATTTAAAAGAAAAAAAAAAAAAAAAAAAAATGATATTTATTATAATATTCAAAGGATAATTATAAAAAATACAATTGTTTTCCTTTTATATTATACAAAAATCAATGTAACAAAATAGTAGCAATTAAACCAATATGTTCAATATGAATAACAAATATTTAGGATGTTGGAATGTTTTCAATAGAACAATTTTAAAAATAATTTGTTTTCTTGATGTTTTTTATTTTAACTACAAAGAAATATTTGAAAAATAAAGTTATTTTTTATTCAATATTCTCTCTCAAAAATATATTAAATACAACCATAGTTAAATATATAAAAATTTACATCAAACAAATTTCCTTTATGTTAATATAGACATTTTAATTACATGTTATATTATTGATAATTTTGACTTTTTAAAGTTTTGCTAATTAATTATAATGATATTTTATATCTAAAAGAATAAAATAGTAAATTTTTAAAAAATATATTTATTTATTCTATTTTATATTTCAAAATACATGTTTGGTACATAAATTAAAAAAATGAGAAAGATTAATTAGCTCATTTAGATTCTTAAAAAAGCAAATGTAAAATTTTTCATTATTTTTTAATTTTTTCTAAATTTATTAAATAATACGCTAATTCTATATAAATAAAAAGGAAATGTATTTTATACATGTGAATATTCTGTTATTGGTTTTTATATGTATTTAATCTGTTTTTTACAATTCCATTTATAAATAATTTTAATATTTCATTATAAACTATAGAAAAAAATGTTTTTCTATAAAATATTTCACATAAATGGAGAATTTTAATATTTATAGAAAACTTAAACCAATTAAAGTTTTACTAAACAATATAACGCTTTCCTTAAAAATGTTTATTTTTTTTTTGTTTTTTTTTTGTTGTCGTTAAGACTAATGCAGAACATTCCACTTTAAAAAAGGTGAAAGAAAAAAAAAAAAAAAAAAAGAAAAAAATATAAAAGGATTTTAATAAATTATATTTTTAAAATTTAATCATACAAAGAAAGTTACATAAAAATAGAATAAAATAAAATTTCTCGTAATTATAATTTATTTCATTCGTAAAATATTTTTTTTAAGTCAATATTCTCACATTTTGTTTAAATATATATATATATGTATCTATATAAATATATCTATATAAATATATCTATATAAATATATATATATAAATATATATATATATAAATATAAATATATATATATATATAAATATATATATATAAATATAAAAATATATACGGATAGATAAATATATTATCTTTATTATTCTTAATAATCTCCAGTATTAACAAAAAATAAAAATAAAAAAAAGCAAAAAATGAAAAAAAAAGAAAGCAGAGTTCTTATTTTGATGCACAATATATATTTTTAATATTATAACATACAAATGTTTTTTTTTTTTTTTTTTTAAAGCATTATTATATATTCCCATATATTTTATTTATTATTCAATCGGCAGCTATTAAATGAATTATTTTTATAAACAGAATATACTTTTATTTTATCTTGTATAATTTAATAGTATAAAAAAAAAGAAAAAAATTTCGTATTCACATTATTTATTTTTGTTTTTTGACTGGTCTTTTAGTAACAGTTTTCTTAATTATTTTTTTTGTTGGTCTTGCTCTTTTTGTCTCTGCACCCTTTACTTTTTTGTTAATTCTAAATATAAAAAAAAAATAAAATAAAATAAAATTTAAGTGTATATTAAAACGTTTATATATAAGAATGTTAATTAAAATACTCGTCTATTCATATATAAATATATTCTATATATATGTTTTATTTTTACTATAAAATATACATATTTAATATCTTGTATAAAATGATATCAATTTTTAAATTTTTATTTATGTAACAAAAAGTTATTTTGCTTATATTTATGACATTTAACAATGTAAAGAAATATAAAACAAAAATAAGAAAAAAGTCATTCATTATAAGAGGATTTCAAAAATGAAGTGAACCAAAAAATAAATATATTAAATAATATAAAGACAAAAATTGTAATGAAAAAAAAAAAAAATATACGTTTTGAATTTTATATAATTATAAATATTGTGCATATTAATATAATAGAAGAGATGTTCTAAAAAATATAATACATTGATATTTTACTTTGTTACATTAATATTTATACAGATAATAAAAAAAAAAAAAATATATTTTAAAAGAAATAAATAAAAATAGTGAAAATTATAAATATTTTATCATACAATTTTTTGGGTTTTAGTTTTTCTTTTGTTGGAGGGGCTGTTTTGATTTTTGCTGCTTTTAATTTTGCTAATTTTCCTGTATTTTTATTGGGCTTTTTTTTAATAGGTACTTTAACGTCTCTTTTTTTTGCAACCATTTTTAATAAATTTATGTTTTGAAATTATTAAAAAGTAAAATTAAAATAGGAAAAAAAAAAATTTATATTTAACAAAGAAATTCTATATAGCAAAATGTTTATTATAAAAATTTATTAAATGTAGTCATTTAAAAGCTTTTTAGTTATATTCTTTCTAAATTAGGAAAAAAAATATAATAAAATAAAATATAATAAAATAGAAAACTGGAAAAGTAAAAGGAAAAAGAAAAGAAAAATTATTTATGTTAATTTTCTATTTTAAAAATGTGTAATATTTTTTATTTTTAAAGTACTAATAAAATGTATATTTTTTTTTTTTTTTTTTTTTTTTTACTTTATTTTGTTTTCTTTAAATTAAAATTTATTTTTTTTTCTCATTCTATGAATAATTTCCTAATAATAAAAGTATATGCACTAATAGTTGCAATGTATAATTACGATAGAATTATACATTTCCTTTTAATTAATTCAATAACCTTTTATGTAGGAAAAAATATAAATATATAGTAATCATAAGCCTTGAGAGAATTATCTAACTTTCGATGATAATTATGCATAATGGGTGCTTTTTCTTTTTTCTTTTTTTTATTTCATAAATTCTTATTTTTTTAAAGGAAAACTAGTATTTATATTTCATCTTTTAGATATATTCAATTGTATTTTAAGATTAAAGAAACAGAAAACCGTTTATATATATTATTACTTTCATACCATTTTTTTTTTTTACTTATTTGCACAATGTTATTTATGAAATGGTAGCTAAATGTCAACAGAAATTTTATTTGTTTTCCTCTTTTACATTACTCAGAAAAAGTTAATTTAATCAAATTAGGAAAAAAAAAAATTATACTTTTTTTTAATTAAAATGATTAAAATGGATTAACATAAAAAATATCGATTAAAAAAATTTTATAAATATTAAAGAAAATAATAAAAAATAGAATGATAAAAAAAAAAAAAAATTAGTTCATCTAATAACTTTTTATATAATTTGAAATAACAAAACAAATGTAACTAAAAGATATTTAAGAAATTTTTGTATCATAATATAATAAAATTTTCCTCTTTTATTCTAAAAATGTCATAATAGAAAATTTCAAGATTTAAACATTTTTTTTTTTTATTACTTGTTAAAATATAAATATTAAAGATTATATTGTTTGTAACTCTTCAAAGTAATCATTAATTACTTTTTTCAATCTGTTTTTTTATTGTATGCATTTTTTATAATAAATTATTTTTAAAATGCTATAATTAAAATTTAATTCACTTTTTTTTTTTTTTTCCATAATGTAGTTTGCAAAAGTATTAATGTGTTCTTTAAAAATTAGAAATTTACTTAAAAAATGCTTTCTACTTTAAAAAGATTTATTTTTTTTTTATAAAAAATATAATACAAATGTATAAAAGACATAAAAAGATAAATTTGTAAAAAAAACAAAAATAAAAAAGACTGTAAAATATAATAAAGAGAAGGAAAAAAATGATATTTATATAATCATATTTTTCAAAAAAATTTCAACAAATAATTATTTTTTAAGCCAAATATAAAAAAAAAATCCAAAGAGCAAATAAAAAATTGAAACTTATTAAATAGGAAAAATAATGAAAAAAAAGTAAAAAAAATGTGGAAAAAGAAAATTATTCTAAAGAAATGCTAAAAAAAAAAAAAAAAAAAAAAAAAAAAAAAAAAAAGCCAAATTAATTTAAATAATGTAATAGCAAACACAATATGAAACGAAGGATAATATTGAGTTAAAAGAATAATGATAATTGTGTACATTTAATATTTAATTAAACTTAATTTTTCCTAATACTAAATCAATTTCATTTTCTGATGTTCTTTCTACCAAATTTTCTATCTGTTATAAAACATAAAATAATTTAAAAATATAATTAAATTCATAATATATATAAAATTATAAAAAATTTTCTACTTTTTTTATTGTGTCCATGGGAAGATTTAGTTTACTTCGTAACTTTTTTATTGAATATATACTATGAAAAAAAATAAAAAATAAAAAATAAAAAAATAATAATCTATATTATAATGTATTTTATCTTATATAGATCTAACTTATCTAATACAACCAAAGCAACCCTTGCTGTGCATTTTATCTCAGCACTTCCACCGGCAGTACACTGAAATAAACATTATTTAAAAAATTATATTAGTAATTTAATTTATATTTAAAATGTGGAAATAAAACTTTCTATTTCACTAAATATATATATTTTATTTTTATTTTTTTTTTTAATGAAATGCATTCATTAAAATATTAAATAATTAAATATATATATATATATGCTTATATATAGTGTTTTATTAATTTAATAACCTCTAAGATGGCTTCTATTAATTTACTTATTTCTTTAAATTTAATAATATTTTGGTCAAATTTAATAATCACAGCAATTAAACACCTCAAACATATCAAATTATATGTTTTTTGTTTTCTAAAAGTAAATTTAATCGTTTAATGTGTAATATGAACATACTTAACAATGGAAATTAAGTCATTTAAAATAATACATTTGTATAATTAGTTTGCGTATATGTATTTATATAATATATATTTTTTTTTTTTTTTTTATAATTTTTTTCTTACGAAGTAATTAGCTTAATAAAATAAAGGATTAATTTACTCTCACTACATGAATTACAAATAGATAATAAGGTGTTGTTAGCAGCGCTACTTAAAAAATCAACTGACGTTTGATGCGCTTTTTTTAAACATGGTAAAATAATGTCATCTAATGTATTATCTGTTTTTTTTTTCCCTATGTAATAAAATTCTGATAAACATAATAATGCATTTTTTGATACACATGATCTAGGACTATTTAATAATTCTACAATGGATCTAACAATTTTTCTTAGTTCTTTTATCTGACTTTCAAAAAATAATTTACTGTAAAATTTTAAAATTTTTCTTAAATTAATTAAACTTTCTATTTGTTTTGTCCACTCTTGATCTTTAGGTGGTTCCAGTAATTCTGTTACCATTTCATTAATATTATCACTAGTTATTTCAAATTGAAAATCTGTTATTTCTTCAAAAGTAATGTATGTTATGGTTTTATCGTTTTTTATCTTAGAAATAACATTTAAATTTTTTCTATTTGTGTTCATATTTTTATTTGGAGTGCTATTACATGATTTTGCGTTTGATACCTTATCAAAAGATCCTCCCTTATCTTGCAATTTCATATAAGATAAATTTTTATTTTTGTTTATTGTTTTCATATCCCTGTTATCATCTACATTTTTATTAGGATCAAGAATTTTTCCATATGATTTATTTTTTTTGTTAGGAATATTTACATTAAGAATCGATTCATTATTTCCTGTAATTTTTATCTCATTTTTATTATTATAAATACTTGTATCATCAACATCATTGTGAATGTCTGAAAAATCCATAACCGTATTATTCAATCCATGGTTATTTTTTTTAGTATATTGATTATTATTAGAATGATTATAATCATTTTCTTCAACTATATTATTCTTTTCATAATTTTTTCTCCTGTAAATCATACAATCCTCGTTAATTGTATAACTATTCTTTGAAATTTCATATAACATATTTTTATGTAAATTGTCATATAAAATATTTTTATTGTCATTAACATATTCGCGTGTTTCATTTATTTTTCTTTTATCATTTAAATTTTGATTTCTCTTTTCTATTACATAACTTTCATATGGATTATCATTGCATTTAAAACTGTTGTTTCCAGTAACTGAATTATCTACAGATCTATTAATTAGTATTCTATTTTTTTCTTTATTTTTATCGTTTAACTTATTGTGAAATATATCTTCATCCAATTTATATAGTTTATTCTTATTACTAAAATTATTTTTTAGATGTTCACTGTCATATCCCTTACTTTTAGAATTTGTTCTTTCAATTTTATTATTATAATTTAATTGATTCTGGTAATAATCATTATCTTGTTTTTGTATTTCAGGTGATTCTATTATTTCACGATTATTCATGAAATTATTACTTTTCGTAGCATCTTGAATATCTAAATTTTTTAAATCATTAATTTTTTGATCATTTGTATGTGTATCTTCTATTTTATTTGGCAAACAACCACTGTAATTTCTTCTAGGAATTATTCGCAAATCACGTCTATGCATTTTTACATCATTAGAATTATTACGTTCATTGATATTTTCTTTTATAGAAATATTTATATTTGAATCTTCATTTTTAACTTTAATTTTTTCTTTACACTTTGATACATTTTTACATCCCTCTTTTTTTACATCATTTTTATTCTGTATTATTTTTTGTGGCTTGGGACAAGATGGGTTGCTTTTTTTTAGTAATGTCAGTTGATACTTTTGCTATAAATAATTTAAATGAAAATAAATAAATATAATTTTTATAAATTAACCTAGAAAAACATTTGTACATACAGAAATTAATATATATATAAACTTTAAAAAAAAAAAAATTGAATGAAATGTTGAAATTAAATAATTAAAAATTAAATAAAAAAAATGAAATATATAATCTAAAATCTTACAAGTTCATTTAAAGGAGATTCTAAACTATTTTCATTTTGATCATTAGAATTGTCAGTATTTTTAATATTTCTCGATTCACTAGTTTTTCTTTCCAGTATATTACTATTATTAACATAATTTAATCCTATGGCACTAGTACGTGTTGAACCTAATTCAACATTAACATATAAATTTTCTTTACGAGCATTCTGTAAATTTTTTTTTTCATTATTTATATAGAGTAATTCTTTAACAATTGAATAATCATCTTGTTCATCAATTGATTTTCTTTTATAATTTCTAGCATCTGAAAAAGAAAATATTGAATAATATGAAAACAAGGTAAAAACTTATAATAAAGTTTAATTGTATTTTCATAATAAAATGTCTTAATTTTATTTTTTTTTTTTAATATAATTATTTTCCCAAAAATTCAATTTTTTTTAACCAAAAGCACATTTTATATTAAATAATTATACATACCATCTATATATGAGCTTGTGTTATCTCTATATTTATTTTCTCCTATAGTAGGCATTTTAATAATTTTCTACTTTTTTACATAAATATAAAATTTATAATTATATTTAAAAATAGCTTAACACAAAAAAGAAAAAAAAAAAAAAAAACAAAAATTTTAATATTTAAAATATTTAATAAATTGTTAAAATGATATTATGATTAAAATTGTATTTTTTCTTATATATTTTTTTTTATCGGAATATGTTTAAAAATTTGCACACATTGTGTTTTATTGATTCTTAATGTGGAAATGCTAAAGAACATTCTTTAAATATATGCAAAAAAAAAAAAAATTCCTTTTTTTTTCTTAAAAATTATTTTAAAAATGAAGATGAAATTCAAAAGTTAAAAAGATAATTAAAGATATAATATTAATTCAAATTAAAAAAATGAATTTCTTACGTGCACGAAAAAAAGAAATTATTTAATGAAGAATAAAAGAAGTTATTTTTATTTATTTTTATTTCAAACATTTTTACTAAATTTAAAATATATGTTTACATTTGCATTATATATAAATATTATTTTTATTCATATTTTTTAAGGATGTAGCTTGCCAAAAAAAAAAAAAAAAAAAAAAAAAAAATAGTTTAGCATAGCACTTAAATTCCATTTCCACTTTTTTGTTGAAAATAAATAGAAGAATCGAAAGCTTATTATTTCATGTTTAGAAAGATAAATAATAGGTCAATAAAAAAATATTATATTTAGCCATAGAAATACATTCCATTTTAAAAATAATTTATTTCTATAAATATAGGTAAAGCATATATGTATTAAATAATCTTTTAACAATTTACTAATGCTTCTAGTTTATATAACAATAATTCTAAATGTTATCTTTTCATTAGAAAAATAATGTGTAAAAAATAATGTATAAATAAAAGTACATCTTTTATTATGCATACATGTTTGAAGAATACATAATGAAAGTTTTATATATGCTTGTGAAAATTCATAGATAAAATGAAAAGTGCATTTTAAGTATTTAAAGGAAATATATTAAAATTTAGTATTTTATTGTTTTATAAGATTAAAAGGATGCTAAAGCTTTTATTCAAAATCTTTTTCCTATATAGAATATGTAGTTTTATTCTAGTTGATTAAATAGCCACAATGAAAAATCATAAAAAAAATATTAAAATTGTAATGTTAACTATATAGTGAATTATAATATATAAATAAAAAATTTGTTTAACAGTTATAAAAATTAAAAATTTTAAAATAACATCTATATCAAATTAAAAACTGAAAAAGCTTAAATAATTTCTTATGAATATTAATCCAAATAAAAATGCTATAATATGTTTAATACAATGAAAAAAATGAGAATAAAATAATTTTTTCCATTAATAAGATGTATTATTAATAATGTGAAATAGCTAGAAAGACACATATGTGCTGAATTTAAGCTATGTGAACAATATTTAATTTAAATTTAATTCCAAGTATAACATGCAAAAAGAAAAATTCATTTTTTTTTTATCTTATAATGAAATGATTTCATGCATTATAAATTGTGAATAATTTTTATTATTTTTCCATTGTTGCTTTTGAGAAAATAAGAAGCATATTTTTTTAAGCTAAGTCTATAAGTAGCTAGCTACATTAAATTGGTATGAAAACATTGAGAATTTATAAACCTTACTATGTTCATAATTTCATATAAATTATTCATGTAAAAATAAAAAATATAACTATATATTCTACTAAATAATTCAATAGTTATAAAAAAAAAAAAATTTACATGCTAGCTCAAAAATGGGATTAAATTATTCATAAGTGTCCTGTTTTTTTTTTTTTTTTTTTTAAGATTTGAAATGTCTTTTTTTATTTTTATCATTTTTTTTTTTTATTTTTATATACGGTAAAATTTATAATCAAGATTTTTTGTTTATCTTGCTTTTTTTTTAATAAATCTTTTATAAATTTACATGTTATTCATGAAATTTTTTTTTCTTGATTTCATATCTTTCTTTTTTTGCTTTTGATTAATATTATTTTTTATTATTTTTACACACTCAAAATTTATAAGACATTCTTAAAATTTTGTTTTTATTTTATTTTTTTTTTTTATATTTATTTCATTATTACTTTTTTTGTATTTATCTTAAGAAAATGAAACTATATATTTATTATTTCGGCCTTTTCCTTACATTAGCTCTTCATTTAAAAGCTATACAGCTTCATTCTGTGAGCTACACACCCAGCGCATACATTGAAAGTAATTCATATAATACATATATTTTTATATAATATACATTTATTAATGTAATATATTTATCAGCATGAGCAAAAATAAAATATTATTTTTTATATTTATAATTTAAATGGAATTTTTTGAAAAAACATGATGAACTTTTTTTTTTCCAATTTTTAGTTGGTGATAAAATATCACATAGAGTTGGAGAATTGTGGAATAACCAATTCGAATCATTTATTGACTTAGTATCTAAAAAAATTGTTGATAAATTAGAAAACAATGTATCAAACGATAAAATTTCAGATAAAATGATGATTCTTCTTCAAGTAAGAAACTGAAATATAATATAATTATTTTTCTTATTGTTCTTTGTTACATATTTATATATTTATTTTATTGAATACATTATTTGTTTACTTTTTTTTTTAGAATGATGCTGAGATTTTTGATTCACATCACTATAAAGATCATAACATGGCACTTATTCAAACCATATTTTTTAGGAAATTAAAAGAGAAATTTAATAACAGTAATTTTGGGAAAAAAATAAGAGAATTGGGATCAAGAGCAAAGAGTAAAATTAAAAGTCTTTATCAGAAGCATAAAAGTAAGTTACAACATTTCTTTAATATTTTAATGAGAAGTTTGGTTTTACCAATAGCTATCAAATATATAAGAAAAAATATTAAGAAATGGAAGCAAAAAACTTTAGATGCCACTAATAAACTCGATGAAGATTCAAAAAAAATAGCAACACCAATAATCAATAGATTATATGAAAATTTTGGAAGCAAAATTGATCAATATGCTGAAGCAAACAGCATAGACTTTGAGGATGAAATGCAAGCTCTTGATGAATTAGCAAAAGATAAAAAAGAGATTGATGCTCTAGAAAAAGAAGAGAAAGCTATATTAAAAGCATAATTTGAAGGATATAAAAAAAATGTTGTAAAATTTTCTCTTTGCCATATGATTTCGATGAAAAGTGATAAATAGCCATCACATTATATAAAGAATGATATCTATTTTTTTCAGTCATTTTTTTAGTATATTTCTATTTTCATCATGATTTTTTTTTTAATTTTAATAATATTAATTTGGAAGAAACCATAAAGTTATATTTTTGTAGATAAATATAATATATATATATGATTTTTCTCTATATGTCATTTTATATAGTTTTTGTAATATTTCAGGCATGCGAATTAAGATATATTTTTTTTTTTTTTTTTTATCAGAATTTAATCAATTTGTTATTTTATACTATATTTTTTACTTTATTTTATTTTTTTTATAAAATTTTACTTTATTTGATTTTATTATTTTTTTTTATAATGGAATAATTAAACATCACATTTACACATAGATAATTCAATTTAAGAAATTTCAATTTTATTTTTTTTTATGTGTAAATAATTTATTAATTAGCATGTATAAATTCATAAAATATAAATAAAATAGTTATACAGATAAAAAATATTTCCTTTTTTTTTTTTATATATTAAACATAAGGAAAAACAAATAACATAAATTATTAATGAACTTTAAATAAAAAGTTTAATAATTTATAAATTTCTATTATCCTTTTACCATTTATGTAAATAAATAATCTTATCTTTATTCTTTTTATTTTTTTAAAATTATTTTTTTCCATCTTTATTTTTATTTCTCCATATTTTAAATTATTAAAGGAATAACATATGCATTTCATTATAAAACAAGGTTTATAACATTTGATTTAAAAATAATTATAACCATTAAAAGTGTTTAAGAGAAAAAAAAAAATATAAAATTTTAGTAAGTTAAATGTTCGAATATTAAAATTATCTTCTGTTTTAATTTCTATAAAAGAAGGGACTACTACTGTTTAATAATTTATTAATAACAAATAAAGTTTTATTTCAAAAATGGAAGAAAATAACTCTAAAAATGAAGCATCTAAAATAATGAAATTACGTAATGTTAAAATATTTTTTTATTTTTATTAATGTATCATGATTATATTAGTATATTTATATATTATTAAATTTACCATTTATAAATGTTACAGTCATAATAGTACATATACCTACATGTTCCAAACATATTTCCTTTTATATAATTTCTTTTTTTTTTTAATTTTATAGAAAGAAGTTTGTCAATGGGTTTGTATTTTGTTTGTATTTCTACACTATCTTGGTTCATATGTACTACTAAAAGAAGAAAGGAATGGTAATTAAGACAGAATAAACATTTTATCTTTTTTTTTTTTTTTTTTATTTCTTTAAAAATGTGTTATTTATATCAACATTTTTTTTTTTTTCAAAACTAATTCATAGGGCAGACATAATGCTTGATTATGTTCATCATAAAAGATGTTCTTTTCTATCTAATTCATGGGAAAAATTTTTGAAAAGATTAAAGTCATAAAAATTATTTAGTTATATATGAAATTGATATATGAAAGTTAGCATCATTATGTTTACTACAAAATATAATTTTAAGTAATTTTACACATTTTGCATCCTTCATGATTTAACTTAAAAAGAAAAAAAAAAATTAAAAATTGCGTCAATTTTTATTATCTTAAAATGTTTCAGAAGAATAAAAATTTATGTAATTTATATTTCTCTTTAGTAAGTAAAAGATATTTCATTATGTATTAATAATATATAAAAATATAATAAAACAAATTATAAGCATAATTATAAAAACTTTTGCTTTGAAGTAAAACACATATATTAGTATAGTATAACAGTTTTCAAATTAATATATGAAAAACTTTATAAACGAAATAGCATGTGTAAATTGATATATATAAATGTGTTGAAGATTATTTTGAGAATTAATAATTTATAACTAATATGTTATAATTTTAAAATAATAAAATACTATATTGTAAATAATTTAATACTGTTAAAGAAAAATAAGATTAAAAATAGAAGTATAATTATCTAAGTTAGAATAGAACCATAATTTATAATTATTACATTAAAATATAAATGTATTTTTGAATATTTTAATTACATGTAATATTTTTATATGTATGAATAAAATCTTATTATTTTAATGAAAGTTTTTTTTTTTTTTTTTTTTTCTTTTTTCGAATATGTAACATTCACACTTATTACATTTAAAATTTTACCTTTTATTTGTATTTTCATCAAATAAGTGTAAAAAATTATTTGTGCAAATATAATTTATTTAATACAAATATTAGAGAAAAAAAAAAAAAATTTTTTTTTTTTCTTTTTTTAAATTCTTTTTTTTAGCATTATATTTTACTGTAGTAAGAGTTTAATGTTGCGTTAGTTTTTTATTTTTTTTTTTTTTTTTTTTATAACAGAGTTTCCAAATATTTTTTCATATATTTAAAACAAAAGATATTAAAATTTTTTATTTTAATTTTTGAGCGTTAATAAAAAAAAAAAATGTAACTTTAAAAAAAAAAATGTTTTTTTTTAAAGTATATAAAAATGATATATTCCATTACTCCTTCAATAAAATATTTTTACGCAATTTTAAAACAAATAAGAAAGTAAATATTGATAAATTAATAAAAAGAAAAAAAATTAAAAGTCATGAACTGTATAGAATAGAAGATATAGAACTATTATTACAAGAGAAAAATCATGATGTTATTCAAGAATATCCTACTGTTAAAAATGTGCAAAAAATTATAGATGTAGAAAATCTTCCTGTTTTTAGAAAAGATGAAAATTCAAATAATCTTTTGAACAAGATAGTTCTCCATTTTGGAGGTATATATATTTATATTTTATGAATATGAATTATATCATTTTTATTAAATTATGATATATTAATTTAAATATTTCTCTTATAACGAATCTTACTGTATTATAAATGTTTTACTTTTAAAATAGTTATTTTTAGAAATATAAATAAGTATATATATTTATTTCTTTTCTTTTCTTTTTATTTTTTTTCAAGACTTATCATATTTAAAAGGGGATGTAGCTATAAATGGTACTAATAAAATTTTCGAACTAATGAAAGAAGGGAATGGATATGACTGCTCGGGAAATTTTTTAAAAATATGTGGGAAGTTTTTGTTTGAAGATATGAAAAAAATTAGAGAAAAAAATAAAGGAAAAAAAATAATAATAACAAAAGGATACAACAGTGCATATAAATCCATTATACACATAGTTGAACCATATTATAATGAAACAGCAAAATTAAAAAAATGTTATGAAGATATATTATTAATTGCAAAAAAAAATAACTTTAAAACTATTATTTTTCCTCTACTTGGTAGTGGTGTAAGTCTTTTTAAAAAACATGATGTTGTTATATGTTGTTTAGAAGGAATTTATGAATTTTTAAAAACAAAAGATAATTTTAATTATATTGATAAAATAGTTTTGTGCACTATTACTGATTCTTACTGGATGCTATTAAATGATTCCATACCTCTTTACTTAGATGTGAATATAAAATAAATATTTATACACATTAAAAAATTTTTTCAAAAAAAATTCTTTTTTTTTAAACATATATATAACCTGAATTAAAATTTTTGTCTACACGAAAGATTTCACATTTTATTTTTTAAATTAAAATTTTTTATTAACTTTATATTTTTAAATGTGAATTTTTTTTTTCAACTATATTTCAAAATTTTTTTTTATTTTAAATTTCTTTGTTATTAGATTTTTTTTTCTCTTTATTTTGTTATAAAGTGTAGCTTTCTTTATAAGTAAAAAAATTGGGAGGATCCTTTACGGATAATAAAAAAAAAAAAAAAAAAAAAAAAAAAAAAAAAAACCAAATTTGAAAATATTATATTTTTTTCTAATATTAATTCTATATTTGTACTTTTAATATGGTTTAATCATTTTTATTGCATTAAAAAATTATATAAACTTATTTCATAAGAATGTTATATGGATATATTTTAATTGAATGAATATCTCTTTTTCTTATTTATATATATATATATATATTTTTTTTTTTTTTTTTGAAACTTAAATATTATGAGTACTAAGTTAGGTTATGAATCTATAGGATATGGATTTTTTTCTGATATTTTTTTTTTGAAAATTTTATGAGCTTCATCCCATACATTTTTAAAAGAAATGTTATTATTATTTTTATTAATGGAAATTCTAGCAGGTAAATTAGAAATATTTATTTTTTCTCCATCTTTAAATAAACTTCTCCACCATATATATGAATTCTCAATTTCACTTTTTTTTTTCAAAGAAATATATAAAAAGGTTTCCTCTTTTTCAACTGTGTTTTCTCCAAAATTAAATTCCACAGTTTGATTATTTATCTTATTTGATAAATAAAAAATTTCATGCCAATTAATTTTCATATTCTTTATTTCCCATAGCTGGGTATCTTCATTCATATTTATTTTAAAATAAAAATATTTATCTATTAATATATCATAATTATTTAAATCGTTTTTTTTTTTACTTTCATCATTTAATGTATTAGAAAGTTTTTTTTTTTTAACAATTAATTTATCTTCATAAATTTCTACGACTAAATATTTTGCTTTACTATGTAATGGCAAACTTATATATCCATTAATGTAATGTATAGATTGATTCCAAATACATTTAAAAGGAATAACCCCCCCATTAATTACCATATTTTTAAAAATAGTTTCATTTTTCATAATATCTTTATTATTAATATTTTCTTTTTTTAATATTTCTTTATTTTTATCATCAACTTCTTCACCTTCCAAACACTGGATATTTTTATTTATTTCATTTGTTTTTTTTTCATCAGCGTTTTTTAAAATTGTTAAACCATTTGGGCCTATCATCACTTTATCATTGTTATTAAGAGTTGTTATTTGAGGTTTCCTATTTCTGCTTTCTTCATCTGATGAACTTACTTCTAATTTTTCAAACTTTGAATAATTTATTAAACTACTCATTGTAATAACATATTTTTATGTTACAATTCTTTAATATCTCTGCTTTCCTTATATATAATTATTACATTTTAAAAAAAGCTTCTAATTCTTTCTACTTAAAAATATATTTAACTATACTTTAAATTTTCAGAGAAATTTCCCACTATTTATATAAATTAGTAAATTGAGATATTTTTTCTTTTGTTAATTCTTTTATTTTGAACTATTTATGAAAAAACAAATATATTAAATTTAAATAAAAATATATAATTCTGTTTTTTTTTTTTTTTCCTTTTTACCTTTTTTTTTTTTTTTTCTTGTTATATTTTATTTTAAAAAATAAATTATTCCTTTATTCATTAATTGTATAACTCATAATAACTTTAATCTTAATAAAAAAAAAAAATATATATATTGTGCAAATATATTATTTTTTCATAGATAAAATAAAACAAAAAAAGTGTAAGTTTATTTTAATAAAATTTATAAAAAATATTTTCTTTATACTCTAAAATTAGTACATATATGAAAAAATGTAGTTTATTTAAAATTAATAACTCTTTTAAGCAACTGTTTATTTAAAAATATTTGTTCATACATATTTTCACTATATTTTATGTAATTTTTATTTTACATTTTTTCTTTTATTTTTTTGATCACACATAAAAATTTATAAAAACTTACCAAGTAAAAATTATATAAAATAATTATGAAGATCTCATTAAAAACATATAAAAAGAATTTCGAAATTTTTAAAAATAAGAATAATAACAAAAAAAAAAAATGAATGAAATTTATTATTATTCAGAAGAAATTGATAATTTATTAGAAGATTATAGAAAGTTACTAAATGATTTGCAAAATGAATCATGCGAAGAAAAGACAAACAAATATTGTAATGACATAAATTTTATTACTGAAAGAATAAAAACAACAAAAGATGCATATTTTATTGAAGTAAGAAATTTACCAGAAAAAGATCAAAATAATCATATACTGAAAATAAAAGGAAAAATGTCAATTTTGGAAAATTTAAACCTAGAATTTGATTTTATAAAAAGTAAATTAAGATATGAAAAAAATGAAGAAAAAAAAAATAAAATAGTAAAAGAAAAATATTTAACACCAAAAGAAATAGAAATAAGAGGAGATTTAATTCAAGATCATACAAATGAATCTATATATCGAATGAAAAAAATGGTAGATGAATCTGAACAAATAACTATAGATGCAATAAATAAATTAAATGTACAAAATGAAAAACTACAAGAAGTGACAGATAATGTGGATGATGTTGAAATGAACATATCTCATGCAAAACAAACTTTAAGAGAAATAGCTAAAGAAGCAATAACAGATAGATTTGTTCGTCTTTTAGCTCTTTTAATTTTTATTGTTTTAATTGTTTTAATAGCTATAATTGCTATTCCAAGGAAAAAATAAAAATATATTTTTTTCATTGTTTTTATTTTTTTTTAAGATTGTGTCAAAGAAAATTTTCTTTTATATATTTACTAATCTGTTTAATTTAGCTTTTATTCATTTCTTTTTTATTTATTTTTTTTTTTTTTAATAATGTACTTGTTATTTTTTTTTTTTTTTCATAATTCTGTTTTAATATAAATTTTTTTTTTTACTTATTTATCCTCTTTTTTTTAGTAAATTTTGTTTTTTTATATTAAAATATAATATCTATTATAGAACCAATATTATTTATACACTATCAGATTTGTTCATATATATCTTCCTACTTAAACTATTCTTACCTTATTTTAAAAAAAAAAAAAAAAGGATAATATGTTTTATAAAATAGAAAAATAATAAAATAATTTAATATTTGCAAAAATTTTAATAACAAAATAAATTCATTTAACACTTTCATAGACATAAGTAATAACTTTTTCATTTTTAATTGTAAGGAAAAATAAGAATTATTTTTTATTTTACTTTATTTCATTTTATTAAATTGTATTTTATTATTTTTTTTTTTTTTTTTTTTTTTTTATGTTCAATAATAAAAATTTTATTTACATTTCCTTTATTAAATTATTGTACAAATATTTATATATTCTTTCTAAAAAAAAAAATTTTTTTTTCATATTATCTCTTATTTATTCATTAAATATTTATATATTTATAAAAAAATCTTAGTATTTTATATTTTTATTTTAATAAGCTTTATTTATTTTTATTTTTAGTATTATAGTTTATTTTTCTTTATTATATTCTTCGTATTTCTTTTTGTTTTTATGCTTAATGATATTTAAAATCTTTGAATGTCATATTAAGAACATATAAATGGAATTATGACATGAAAAAAAGCAAAATAGTTTTTTAAATTTAATTTTTGTTTATGATTTTATTTTATATTTAAAAGTGTGTTTGTTTCCAATAAGAAAAAAAAATAAAGTAAATACCTAAGAATTATAGATGTATAAAAAAATGAAAATAAAATTTAAGATAAAATATTTAATAATTTATTATTTTTATATTATTAAATCAAAAAAAAAAAACATTTAATTTTAACATATATAATTATGAAGTTATGACTACTTTACTAAAAAAATTTTGTTAAATTAGTAATTTTTTTTTTTTCTATTAAATTTTAACATAATTTGTAGATATAACATGTTTTAAAAATAAAATATTTTTTTTATATTTAAGTAACAAAATGCAAAAAAAAAAAAAAAAAAAAAAAAAAAAAAAAAAAAAAAAAAAAAAAAAAAAAAAATTAAAAAAAAAAAAAAAATTTTTAAATATCTTGAATAATAAAAGAAATACAAGGAAATTAAAATGTGGAAGGGAAATGGAAATTTAAGTGTGTAATTATAATTCGTGTTCCTTTATACATATAGTATATATTTATATATTCTTATATACTTTCTTCTATATAATTCTTCAATTATAAATTGTATATTAAATTTATATAATATATATAAGAAAAATAAGTACATATCTCAATGGAATAATTTTTTTTTTTTTTTTTTTTTAATACTTAAATCAACAATTTGATAGAAATTAGAGCTTTATTTATTAAGTTAAAAAAAAAAAAAAAAAAAATGC